GCTCCTCTCAAGCAATAGCGAAGCGATTGATTTGTCACGACTACTATCTATGATATATTATCTATGATATACATGCAAGAACGCAACAATGCAATAATTTAATAATTCGTGATATGGAAAAAATACTGAGATTATAGGATATCATAGGATTTTAAAAGGGATCTTTCAAAAAATCGGCCAAAACTTTTGTTTGTCATAGATTCTGACAAGTTCGGAGCGAGCATAACATGATAAATAATTTTTTATAATAAAATTTTAACAATCAAATCATAAATTACATTTTGTTAAAATATTAAATATTTTTAAAAATATTAAGTCTCCATTAGCATTTATTTCAATTACTTACATTTTACGTGTTTTGATTGACTAAAATTTTCAAGTATTTTAATATTCTATATTAAATAAATCCGCAATTATTTCGAATTAAAGTAACGTTTTTTAAGTCTAACTTTAATATTTAAATTGGTTGAAAGAATATTCATTATTGTTAGGTATAAAATTCTATGCATATCTTTTTCTGCATAAAAATATAAATTACCTGCTTCGAAGCAGTACATTGATCGGTTTGGCCGAGTACATCCTTCGTCCGGTATATCCAACTTTAGCGGCAATAGTTCCTTAAGACCATACTCTGCAAAGACTGGATTCATTCGCAGTAATCCGCCATAGCCCGTCCGGAGTTTCCTAAAGAGCGAAATAAAGATATATGTATTAGAATTTTGAGAATATCACGTACAAACGATAATGTCAATGTGAATAGCCTGTTTTAGTCTTTTAGTATTTAAATACTTTAGCAGTTTTCAGTGTTTCAATTATAATTAAAAAATTATTCTATATACATTTCTATATCACATAACTGTTAAAGAGAGAAACTCTGACTTAACATTTTTAAAAATTTCCGGAATTATTTGAGATATTAGGGCAAGCACTTTTTAGAGAAACTAGATAGACAGGTGTATATAATATTTATAGACGTAAAAGACATATATATCGTGCGATGTCACGAAGGCAAAGGATTGAGTAATCGAGGGTCGTAAATCGCATCACGCGAACATGGTAGAAAGTGCGAAGAACACGAAGGCACGTGCCCGTGTGTTGGAAAATGCAGAACAACTCAGTGCTGATTTATTGTCCTCGGTGACGTAACAGAGGCACATATTTGTAGGCGGAACGAAATCCGCTTCGCCAAATGCACGTGCAGGGATCCATAAAAGGTGAAAACCAACTTACCCACCCCTAGAGAATAACCGATGACTGTCAATACATTTCCTTATGCTTCATTACTTTACACCGTGATAAAATAAATAAATAGGTACAATAGATTCATTTTTTCCCTTCTGAACGCGTACACCCCGTATAATGAACGTTCATTCTATTACTTCTATTATTTCCTCTTTAAACCCATTTTAATTAAAAATTTGTAATTTTCGGTGAATATGTTTACCTATTGAAACAAAACTGACTTTGAAACTCATTGATAACGCGATAAGTCATTACATAAGTATTTGAGAATAATTATTTCATATTATTTCGAGTTAAAAGCATTGTTTACCTAGCAAAAGTTTCCGTGATGCCGTAAACCGTATTACCATCCAGTACGCCCGTAAGAAGATTGAAAGGCACTCGGGAACCGAGACGGCAATCAGGTCGGACGGCGGGAAAAGCGCGAACGAAGTCCATGCATTGCACGTTGAATAGCCTGTAGAAATAGTCGTCCTCCGGTATGAGGATCTCGTTGCAATAGGGATTCTTCAGGTGTGGCGGCCGGCCACAGCATTCTTCCGGATCGTTTCGGTTCAGAGGGTCTGCAAACACACGATGATAACAGAACAGATACGTAATGATAGCAGAAAGCGATACCGTATTCCTATTATCCTATATCTACCGCACGCGTAATCCATAGTCTGCGTACAGTGGACGTGCCGGGGAATATCAGCATTCGCGATTGAATGGAACATTAAACGAACACGTCGACTGTTTTTCCCCGACTGTCGCAATCTCACTCGTGTTGGACGAGGTACAATCGACGTCGTCGATTAATTATCCTGTCCTACAGGAATACGCGTACGTGTCGGATCGCCCGTTGAGCGTATACAGCCGTATTGCACATTCTAAATTATTCTTTCTTCCGAGAACAATTCGATAATTGACGTGGAGTTATTTTGGAGTGGCGCGATCACAAGTTTGCCAATGGGCTTGTCAATTCTGGTTGACACATCAGTGGCGAGTGATCCCGAGCCGAAGAGCGCCCGCTCGAAAACGTCACGGACGTATATACCGCACGTGATCAGTTTATCCGGGCAGTGATCGTTCGCGCTTTCTCTCGTATAGTTACCCTCCTTTCGATATATACGGCAAATACGTTCAACGTGGAAGGGCTTAAGAGCGACCTACGATGCGCATGTATCAAATATCTCGGTACAGTTGCTTCGACGCAACTTGAGCAATCTGTTCGCCGGCGATTGAGAGGCTCGCTTTCTAATTTCTATTCTAGTTGCATGATTGAATCAGCGCGGGCTTTGATCATTACGGCATATGAGCCGTCAGAAAAACCATTTGTAGTTTTTTGATTGTTGCTTTCTCTAAAATGTTTTATATATCGCAGGTAGCTATCATGCTCATATATTGCAGTGATCTTTGTTAATTTAAGAATCATTTCTCTCTATTTATTAACTTAGACAGGATGTGTTTTGTTGAAAGAAAAACAGAAAAATATTGCCCGTAGCAAATTCGTAATTGAAGCCTTTCATATATATAGTTAATCATTCATTTATTTTTTCGGATAATTATGTGTAATCTCGTATTTGTTTTCTTATCTTATCGTTGAGTGAGATAAATTAATAGTTTTTTATTCAGTTTTTATTGATTTACGCACGTATTTTACGTGTAAAATATCAAACAATTATATAGACGCTTATTTATTAATTAAATAGGCATATATTTGTATCTAGTTAATGAGATCAATTTCGGGAAAATCTTATTATTAATTGAAATAAAGAGATCGTCTTGCGGACGTTAAAAACACTGATAATCGCGGCGGAAGTATCTATTATGAATGTCACGTCGAAAATCACGCTCTAGAATGTAATATACCTAGAGGCGTGGCGGTCAAAGTATAATCGTGGTCCATGAATTGTCCCCACGCGATCACCATAACTGTGCCGGCGTGATCGTGGTAACCTTCGTCCGGGTGCATAGTGCGTGACACGACTCGGGACAGCGGTAGATCATGACCCGTTATGGATATCCTTGGCGCCGACAGACCGTCCGCGAATTGAGGGCTCATCAATCTGCAAAGAATAAAAAATAAGTACTCGTAGCGTATTTCGTACTGAAAAAAAGAAATATTCGAGAAGCGGGAAAATCACGGTTACCTTGCGAAAGGCGACAGAGTGGCTCCCCAAGTTGGATTCTGCAAATTCGTGCAGAGGCCATCGTACCGTCGATATTTGCCCGCTCTGCATTGCACGTTGCTGAGAAATGCGGGACAAACCTCGCGGATCAGCGTCTTCGAAGTGTCGATCAACGGCAGACTCCTCTGGATCTCCTCGTAGGTCAGTCCGTATCTGGGCGCCGATGATTAGAAAGTAAAATCGAGGAAACGCGATCGGATCCCAAGGGGGGAAAGTTCGTTCGGGAGAGAAAGAGAAAGATCGCACGCGGGCTTGACAGGGAGAACTTACGTTTGCGCGAGATTCGTGGTGATGTCGAGAAGCAGCTCGCCGACCGTCGCCAGGTCCTCCGGACGCCACATCTCCGACTTTGGGCTCGCGACATCTACGGACGATTACGTGTGAGCGACGGAACGCCGCGAGAAAGCCGCGTGACAAAATAAATAGCGAATACGTGCGTACGTACGACGAATCGTCCGTTATGGGTTTTATATGACCGTCGTTACGCATTTCGCGAACGACACTCGGCATCGTATTGATCATTGTCGACGATAAATTATATGGACATCGCGCAATTAATTGCCGTAATGAAATTTAATATACTCACTAATGCGCTTCCTTGCCTCGACGTAAGCATGATTTACGGCGTCGTACGTGATGCAGGTTTCGGTCCCACCTGCGGTAGGGCTACGAATAACGAAAAAATGAAGATGAAAGTTGACATATACTCGATCTTCGAGTGCGGATATTATTTACAGTCTCTTCCCCCCCTCTCCCTCTGTACCCCATCGTCTTAATTACCCAACGTTGCAGCCTACTTTCATGAGAAGCCGACTCGAGAGAGCCGTGCGTGAGACGTGAATTCGCTTGTGCAGATCACGCGTATGTATCAAGGTAATCCGAAACTATATCCTAGACGTGCTCTCCTATAATGAGTGCGAGAGAATTGACTTTCATATCCTGTTTCCGCCGTGAAATACACTGGCATTGACGCGCTGCCCGTGGCTGCGTCGAAGGTTGAGCCAGCAATTCTGCGCGTTTCTCTACGTCGACATTGCACTCTTGTCTACGCAGCTTCCGCTTTTAATTCTTTCGTCTTTATTTCGACCGTGTCAATCGCCTAATATATTCAGATTAAAACCATCACCTATTCTTTATGTATTTTTTCATCAATTTTTGCTTATTCGCTTATCTTTAAAGTTAACATAAACCTTATCTTGGAATTTTACATATCTTGGTGAGACATTAAATATAAATTTTGAAATTAAGCTTGCATTAAACGATCGCAAGATAAATATGTTGCTTTGATATTTTAAGAATATTATATTTTTTTATTTATTATCTATACGTACATTGTGAACTCGGTATTTTCGAAATCGATGTATAATTAACGTTTACATTAACGTTCACCGAACATAATATTTAGCATAACAGGATCTCAACTCATTTAATCTTAAGACACTGACTCGTGAAACCGCTCGAGTTTACTGGAGTAGCTGTCTATCTAAAAATCTGATCCGAGCAGTACGAATCACTAATTGTCAAGTATACTTGAGGCGCAAAATCGGGAAGGCGCAAGAGAGGCAGCTTCTCGCGTCTAATTGCAGTCGAACGTTCGTGCCGCAACCGCGACGTAATAATAACGAGAGCATTCTATAATGGTGTCGTGCATCGACGCACTTACCATAACTGGTCGGAGCGACGGCTACACAGCCCCGTTCCCCGTCGCCCGGTGATAAATGTGGATTGCGCCAGCCCGAGAGCCTTTTTTTCTGATACACATAAATTACATTTCAGCTCACGGCATTCGTACTTTAATATGCCACATTTAATAATCACGCGGTCGCGGCACGCCAAGTATCCACCAGTGTTCGAAAATAGCTTGCCCCATTATACCGCGCTACGATCATTTCGTGCTTCGTGTGCCGTCTCTGTTTCGACGGATATCGATCGGCGAGGCATTATTTTCGCACATTGTATCCGTTCCTGTTTTCTCACTTCGCGAGTGATCCTTTCGAAACATTGTCAATAATCACTTTCGCAGCCGACAGCACGCGCTATTTCGACCTCCAGATCGGCCGTGTCGTTTCGCGGTGTAATTGCGTACTCGACGTCTCGTTATGTCGTGTCCCCGGGCACCTGTTTGACATTCCACGAGTGTCTCCACCTTAAAGTAGTAGCTGCGTGACATCGCTAACCGGGCGGCGTTACGACGCCACGCCGGCTACCTAAACGGTCGGTGCGGATCACGCGACTTGCCTGACTATGTTTACTCTCGATTACTGGATAAACTGTCTGGCTATTAAGCTCGCTAAATATAGACAAATATTTGTGTCAAAACTCAGAATTGAATTCTAATGTATATATAATTTTATGTGCCGTGCAATATAGAAAACATTTAAAAGATCAGAATATGTCGAAATACATATGTCAAATTATTAATAGAATTTTGTTCTGAAATTCGAAGAAAAATTGTGTAAAATGAGCTTTAGATCGTGATAAATTACGTGACTGCTACTACGAGTTGCATGAGATTTTCATTTAAATTTTTATTACGATAAATTAAAATTGAGCTATTTTTTTCTATTAAAATCGTATAGCACATTCCTTTAAGTATTTTGACTGATTAAAATTAGAATTAATTGTTCAAAGAAACAAATAATAATGACAATTTTATTTCATTGGTTTCAATTCTTTTGTTAACAAAAAAAACAATAGCCTTAATATGAAGCGTTTAGCACCAAATAAACTGCACTTATGCGAACTACGTAAATACAAAGATGCGGGAGATTTACATTTGTTACACATGAAATTATTAATGTCAATTTTGCCACAAGTGACAGTTGTTTATTAAGAAAACAATATTTAAGAGAACAATAAATCTGTAAAAGTTTTTTAAAGTCCTTTTAAGCTACAAGAAATTACCAAAGAGACTTACAAAGGATTATATTCTTAATAACGCTATTATGAGGAGGATTAAATTTTTAACGACGTAATTATGACGAGATAACGCGATACGTGTCGTTGTATTGTTGAAGCAATCGTGGTTGTCGATAATCCGCGTGGAATTAAGGACGGCGATAATATATACTCGGCGTAATTCCAATTAGTTTCTCTCCTAGCGCTCAAGCGAGGCCGTTTCGGCTACCATAATCTTCGGCAATCCAAGCATTTAAAGCGATTTTATCGCAACGCGGTCGCCTTGTATTTCATTAGCGGCGCGCCTCAAAAGGCTCAATTAGCAGCGGTAAGATTCCCGTGCATACTAGCTTAGTCCGTGCCTCGGTCCGTGCCGCAGTTTGTGATCTGGAATATACCTACTGATATATTTCAGACAGATCTCGTAACTTGTTTTCAAAAATCGCAATCACTTACGATTAATTACCAGCGGTAAGAGACCAGGGGGCTGATTCTGTAATTCTTAATGACAGTTTCTTTATCGTTGTATTTGCGTTGCGCAGATATTATATATGGTAAAAAAGCTGCGCAACGTTAAGAGTTACAGAATAGGGCCGCAGTGGCACGATTCTGTAACTCGTTAGGCAGTATCGTTATCGTTATGTTGTCGTTGCGCAGCTTTTTTACCGTATAGTATATACCTGCGCGGCCCAGCAGCGGTATGTTCTTTTGTCGTACATTAACGAGAGTGTGCAATGAGACAAGTTAACTCGACCTCAGTTTCGGCCCCCGAATGCCATTCAAAAACTCCTCCTTTCTTCAATTTCCTATCCTATAAACAATTTGCAACCGCAACCGCCTTCGTAATCGCGTTTCTCCAACATCACGGCCGCTCAGCTGAATTCGATTCTTAAGGACACTTTACGAAGGCACTCGAACGATAAACGCCACCATCTCGTCGGTTGCTTGACGTGAAGAACGGCAGTTAATCACGGGTTTCAGCAGCACGGTTACGCGCCTGAACGCGGGGATTATTACCGCGGCTCTCCGTACGGTAAATACGATTCTGTACACGAGGCGATGAATGAAACAGCAATGCGATACGTAACGGTCACTCTCGTTGCATGACGCGTTTACGGCTCAATACCGTAAATGCCGATACCGGCCGGCAATAGTCGCTTTTAAAAGCTCGATAGAAAACGTTCGAATTTTACGATCGTCGCTAAAGCAATATAATCTATATAGAATTATCTTACGTAGACATGCGGAACAGTTCACGTCGAATACATTCTTCGTAATAGAATGTACGCGCGGTCATACAGTGGAACCGGTAAGGTCGCATTAAAGTCCGCTGATCCTGCGGGAACAGGATGATAGTGAAAGTCCTGGCCGCTCGGCCAAAGTTCCCGCTTTCTCTAATCCTCTAGAATGCCGAGGACTCACTTTATTATGTAAACGTATTGCACTTCCATACAGTTATCAAATGCGATTTATAATCGTGCATTTCCTAGACATTACAATTTGTTCTATACAATAGACGTCCTATCTGATAAAACATAATTTTTATCTGCTTTTATATACTCTCATAATCGGCAGCGTGATAAAAGACAGCATTTTGCTTGAGCGATAATTGGTGACCAATAATCGCGGATAATCTTGGGTATAAATAATTAAGCTTATACTGATAGAAAATTTATGATTGCAGTAAATACTCGCTACAGATGACTTGATACAACTATCTTCAATCACATTTATTGTTAACGACAAACATTAAATGCCCTAAAGAAAACAGGAGATTTTTAAAGGATTAGCATAAGTTCAGTATAATTTGATGAAAATTAATTTTTGAGTATTAAGTTTTGAGTAATTGTATAAAAGTTTTTTTTTTCGCTGAGATAACATTATTTGAAATAATTTAAGTAATCGTAATTTTATAGAATAATCTACGATAATAATTTTCAATTATTTACACAGTGTGTTTACTCTCTAAATTTTTTCGAGTGAAATATCACTCTAATCGAGTGGAAATTTACTCGAGCAAAGAGTGAAAATGGAACATATCTTATTGAGTGAATATTGACTCGATTTGTCGAGTGATTAGATCACTCGCGCGCTCGAGCGAAATTTGACTCGTGTATTTGAGTGAAAACTTGCACTCGATTAAAGTGCCTTCTTCAGGTGTCTGATTTTGCTGTTCGCTCGTTCTTAGAGTAAAGTTTTACTTAAAAGGCGAACATGTTTCCTAAGACTCACCACATAGCATTTCTACCTGTTATTTTAAAACGTTGGTTAGGTTAATTTGCTAAGGCCCAGTTGTTCCAACCTATTGGTAAACTAACTAATAGTTAGTTTAAGGAAAAACGAATCGGGAAGCCGTGAGTTGCAATGCGGTCGCACGCGAGGAGGAGGCTCTTCGTCGGTATCAGGACACGATGCACGACGATCCCATCCACGGGGAGGCGTCGCGAAGCCGTCGCGGCTACGATCTGTGCCCGCGGAATCACCACCGTGCAAGCATGACCGCGACGTCGGTGACGAGCCTGACGGTGAGCACCCGGGTGTACGAGGGTCAGAAGCCGGGCATCTCGGGTCTGTGGAAGGCCGTCAAGGTCTTTCAGCAACACTACACGGACAACTTCGTGCAGGCGATACTGGATGCCCGGGCGATCAGCTGACCGGCTGCACCCTCGTCGTCGGCGGCGACGGACGGTTTTATGGGAGGCCTTAGCAAATTAACCTAATCAACGTTCGAAAATAATAGATAGAAATGTCGTGTGGTGAGGTTATATCAACCTTAGGAAACATGTTCGTCTTTTAACACGATATTCACAAAATCCACGCACTAATATCCACAATTCTTCGAAATCTTTAGGTATAAACACAAATATACATCACGTAAGCCCGACATTGTAACATGGCACGTCTCTTGCGCGGGCTACGCAACTGAGCCATTCGGTTCAAGTAAATTTTCACTCGACCCGAGTTGCTCGGAACCAGCGTACCACAATTCACTCCGACACTTCGAGAGAATAATTAAGATTATTTTCACTTTATAGTTCGAGTCACAGATTTCACTCGAATCGAGTGAAAATAAGTGTAAAGTCACTCTGTGAAGAGTTGATAGTGCATTCACTCAAGCCAAGAGTCAAATTTTCACTCGAAAATATTTAGAGAGTAAAGTTAAAAGAAAATGTTAAAGAAACTTGATATATTATTGAAATTTATAATACTCCCATCTTCCATCTATATTGCAGATAGTATAAGAACTTTGAAATCCAAAAAGTGCACAAAATCTAACAACGTAGATCTATTACGAGTACAATTAATGTGTGCAAGAATATTTTCTTATTTTGTATTCATGCTCAACCCCGATAAAAAATTCATAATTACATTACTAATTTTGTTAATTATATAAAATATTACGTCGTATTTCTCGTATTATCTGATTATTTTAGAATAAACTTACAAATTAATTAAAATAATTAATTAAGAAACCCAAATTAATTGTTTGCGTGAGAAGCAAAACTAATATCTCTATAAGATATTCTGTCGATGTGGCTATTAACATAAAAATTAGTCTACCTGATGGGATGAGAAAATTCACAGGCAATGATTTTACTTGCGCAAGTTTGTATCAGTCATTTGGAAGGAACAACTTCAATTCTTGGGTACGCGTTGGCTTTCGCTAAATTAAGATCGCTATCGTCGCGCGGACTCGTATTTCGGTCTTAATGTAGGCACTTACAACGATCCGCGAAGTAAATTATAGGTGTAGTCGTAAACGCTGGTTCTTCCACGGGCGTCCAGGATCAAGGCGCACTCCTCTCCGTTTGCATAAGAGTCGAGAGGCTGATACTGTAGCCCGTTACAGTGCGCCGTTACCAACAGCAGCAGCAATCCGATTATCGCGGATCGCGTCCGCATTATCGCGAATCTGCAACATTCCAGCACAAACGATTATTTCTCTCAAAGAGTATCATGACGCATGTGAATAAAAAGCTGCTCGGCTGCTTGCCTTAAATCACGGTCGCGCAAGATTTGCATGGATTATTACAAATATCTGATTGATTGGAGATTTATTCCTGAACGAAAAAATTATATTAAGTAACAAAAAATACTTTTTAATTAATCCAAAATGTTCCCTTTTCCATTCCGCATAACGCTTTGTCATAAAAGTTTTATGATAATGAATATGAGCAACTAACGTAAAGTTAGCAAACGAAGTCGTATATTATATGTCATTAAATTCAAAACGTTAATTGAATCGATTAATCACGTCTTTAGCTCCGACAGTTTCCGCATATCTCCTGCAGAGTAAATGTTCATGTTATATACGCGGAATCTATATATTACATAGTCAGTGTATATATACACGCAGTTACGTATTTTTCATATATATTTTTAAAAAATAAAAGAAGGTAATACTGGATAATGAAAGCTTATATTATACTTCTTATTGTTAGACAAATCAGAAATATGGATAAAAACGAATACTAGTAAAAATATTTTCGATAAGATATTATCTTTGCCATTCTTGCCAATATATATAATCACATTTTTAAATTTTGTGCTTATATAATAATAATAATCTGAATATCAGTATTATACCGAGCCAGTAATTAGGGCATTTGCTTCGATATCCACTGGAAGGATTATTGGATACCAGATTAACGCAACTATTTGGGTTTAGCCGACTGGATTGCCTTGTAAGCCAGGAATTGATAAAGAGAATATGATATTGTAAAATATCTAACACAATGTGGTATGTTTTCAACACGTAGCAGCTGTATAATACGTTATGCGCTATTAAAAATATTGTTTTAACTTTCCATTCTATGAAAACATTTTAACTACTTGTATAGAAATATATTCTAAAATTCGATAAAAATGTAATACTAAATATATAAATGTATATATTTTAATACAAATTTAAACATGATAACGTAACAAAATAATAAAATCGGACGTGAACTTTTTAGTGGCTCTTTGACAGGCATAGGGACATTGAAAAGATTTCTACAATTGTCAGCTCAGTAAAAGTTATAAATAACAACAGTGCAAAATTGCATCTTTTTCGGTAAAATTATTCTGTGAACATTTTTTTGCTTAATAGCTTGATCATATCTGTTGCACCGTGTGCGTTTAAAGCATAATGCATTCAGTGCATTCTCGAGCTGAGCGGAGAAACCGAGATATACAAAAGTCGAAGTTCTTCCGTAATCGCTGTCCATTCTTTTAGCATAAGAGACGTGTCGCGAACTCCTCCAGTCCATCCGTGGAAAGCCAGTCTTACATTTTGTATTCTCACGCTTCGCGACACATTTGCATATGTAAACGTGCAATTGACATACATGCAAAATTGTGCGGTAACGAATACATTTTGTGCGTGCCGTATTCTTACTGGCGGATATGACGGATCTTACTTTTGAATTTCATAAGGAGGGAAATTTTTTCCCCCGCTAATTTCATTGTTTAATGAGTTTCTTATAATACACATTTTAAATTCAAACTTTAAATGTTACTTGTTGATTATCTACGTTTGCTTTCCTCTAAGACCCGGTTTCATCAACGTCGCATAACATTTAACCGTAGCTTCGTCTCTAAGGGGACAGTTGGAAAGAGACGAAGAGTGAGTTAAGCTACGGTTAAATGTTATGCGACGTTGATGCTACCGAGCCTAAGACGTATTATCTACGGAAATTATATTTTAACGTAATAACGAAATTACATTAAAAGGAACAAATGTATGGAATAGGCATAGTTGGCATAGGGCTTCCACCACCTTGAACTCTTTAGCAAAACATCTATTTCAAGATTAATTATTGCCGTACATCCATGCTTCATTCACTAACGCTTGTCATGAAATTACATTAATTTGCGGTACAAATTGCCACGTTGGAAATGGCTGACAGGTATTCGCACTCGCCTTGTGTTATAGTTTGCCGACGATGAAAGTACCTCTCGTTCCACATAATGATTAGATAAGACTCGATCGATTTAAAGCTATTTGGATTCTCTTCTGTTTCCTTAGTTTTCTGATCATTTCGAGCATCTCGCATGCGGCTCACGGATGCAACGCAACCTGATAAACCGGTCCTCGCATATTCGGTAACCTTAGACGATAACGATTAATCAATCGCCTTTAATGGAAATTACTTGCACTTTGGTGACTTGTAATTGACTGATAATTTGTCGAAATGCGTTCTTTATTTAATGTAGCTTGCATTTATAGTAGAAATCATTTTGCATGTTTGCTATAATTTATAATGCTTAATATTTATATGAATGAAGATAGTTCCTGTGTTTATCTGTCTATTTGTTATCACAATGTTTTAAAACATAATATATATATTATTCCAATTTCTATTTTAATTGAATATAGAGTTAATATTTAATTCTAAAGTCTTAATTTATGCATAATATACATATTTGTTATTCTGAGTTATCTTCTATAAAAAAGAAGAGAAAAAATGCATGAGTGCTTTACGTAGCCACGTTTATATTTTATAAAAAGATATATTTAATGCAAATTAACGATTTACTCTTTTCACGGTATTAAATAAATATTTTGTGAAGTCAGAAGAAATTGGAGAAATTTGTTTTTCGTGATCATTGGATGGATCATGGTTCATTAACTAAGTAGCATGTCAATTTATTGTTGATTGTCTTCTTGCGGAAACGTAAATCTTACCCGGATGAATTACATGACATCAGATTGATATTCCGCGTCCGTAATCGCGTGAAATTCAATCGGAGAGCGTGCGAAACAGTGGTCAGGAAGCGTACGAAAAGTGAAAATTCGTTAAAAAATCAGCCACAAAATACCGCAAGAGAATTGTTCCTTGTTGCATAATATTCTTTACGCATTAATGGAATAGAGGTGTTCATCTATATAAAGATGTTACATCTACATCATATATATGTTTAAAAAATGAACTATATGCAACACATTTTATTACGTTTTATTACATTGCATGTAGCATTTACATTGCAAATGACTTTTATTTTATCAAGCAAAGACATATTAATGATTTCTTTTATGACAAACGGATTGCAATTAAATTTAACCTATATATGTCTTACATGGACCTGAGAAAATTATATACATCACGACTGTTGAATTTAATATACTTTTAAATCAGTTTATAAATATTATGAAGCCATGGCATTATTACTTCTATTCTATATATAGCAATATTGAGTTTCCAATCGTTAGTTGGAATATAAGACTGTAATTATCTGAGTATATATTTTCAAATAAAAATGTAACATATTACAAAAGAATTTAAATTAAATTATTGTAGAAATGATTGAATATTTATTCTTGCATTGAATATTTGCTTGATTAAATATTTATAAATTGCATAAGATATGAATTTTGTATGTTCATGATACAATGCAAGAATGAATATGAAATTTCTGATGATGATAAGCAATAGCGTGTTGATTACTAAAGAATCCAAGTTAACAAAGTGGGAATTATCCCAAACAGCGTATCGGAAGATTATAATGAAAGCTTTCGTTATGCGCAAATCGACTATCATCGTTGCGCCGACTACATCATCGTGCCGCGGCTTGTATCACGGTTAGATACAATAATTGCCATTAAGTAGGCGGACAGTGATCGACCGTTTCTCAAGAGTTTGCAAATCCTTACATACGTATAAACGCGTATCTTATTTGACAATTAAAAACTCGAATGATTTACTAGCTCGGTGAAAGGATTCGAAAGTGGGTAAAAGTAACGCGATGCTTGCAGAAGGACGAGTCTAGATTACGGGGGGCATTTGTCTGCAGATCTTTATATTTCGTCGCGCGCTAAGCTCCATCTGATCGCGCATTTGTCATCTCGTGTGACAACGCGTTTTCTTTAAAGAATAAGTCGTGTAAAATCATGATTGAAACAAAATCTCCCGGATTAATCGAAAAATGGATCGAAATAAAGCACCGATTGCTTTCTCGGTGCGTCTTGCGCGGGATTCTCCTTTCACCTTTCGCAGCACTTGCACCCGGCACTGTGCCCGCGCGATGATGATATAGACACGAAAAGAGTCACGTGCATTTCCTACAAGACATCGCCCCCATTTGTACGCTCCGGTTCTCATAATTACTCGCAACTATTTTTCCGAGCTATTCGTCTTTCTCAAGAAGCCTCAAACTTTTCTTTCTCACGTTCAAGAAGTTCGCGAGAGATTGGGAAATCTGATAAGCAACGATAGCAATGATCTATCAATTTATGCAAGCGCCGCGAACGTTTTAATTTTGGTAAGAGTAAAGATACAATCTTGAGATAATTAAAAAATTTATTATATATACACATATCAAAATATGTGACATTTAATATTTTTTTAACTTGATCTCTATCTAAAATAGAGTTGAAGAAAAGCTAATTTTTATTAGGATTAAAAGTATGTATATTTTAGCATTGTCTAACAGTATCAGTTTATAGCATGTAAATACAAGAGAAAAAATTGAGAAAAATTAGTCACGCTTAACTTCGACAGTGTAACTTTCATGACATGTATCCTTGACCCACTTGTTTCAAAAACAGAAAAGTAAAACACATGTGATTACACATGTGAAATTATATGTAGATATACACATGAAAGGTAATTTATAATTTTCCTTTATTACAGGAAACTAATATATTATGTGTTATGTCTTATATGAAGTAACAGTATGTTGTGTACCCCTCCCCCCGTGTCATTTATGACAAAACGTAGATAGTAAAACTTTAAAAAGTAAATTGATCTTTCCCCTCTGCGCTTTCTCGCAATACGAGATCCGTTATCTGTGCTATAATTTTTAACACAAGTCAATTTTTATTAACAATATCAAATGTGTGCTGAAATATTCGACAAATGGATGGTCTTTTCAGATTTTAATTAATTTTAATTATAACTTGCTATTACTAAGAACCGATAAATTATCATTTGCAATCTTTTTCCTATTGCGAAATCACGAAAAATGTTAATAAAAGTCTTTTCTGTCCTATCTTGACAACAACCTCTTGGCGCGCGTGATACGCGTCGATCGCTTAAAATTCCTCCGCAAAATTCCTCGATTTGTGATTCCGTCACACTCACCCGTTGTGCATTCTTCCACCACGCGCTCCACGTTGTTAATGAATCACGGCGATCGAGGAGCGACGACAAGGTTGTCGTCGAGGGTGGTAATTGTCAATTTGCACGTTCCCCGATGCACTTTTTCAACACACGCGACACGCGATGTTGGAGAATGGAAATCAAACGACGAGCAGTCGAAGAACGATACCGGCAATGTTTCCGTCGACGAATGCCTTTGCGCGCGTTCGAGAGATCAAAGTAATCACCACCGCACGTGCCTGCTCTTCGACCGTCTGTCGAATCGTGTTCGTGCAACGACCAGCCACTTCTCTACTTGCCGGATATAATCCAGCTTGCGGTCGATCACCACCGATCTTGCTCCTGGGTGGTTGCTTTTAGAACGACTCGCACTGATCGACTACCTTAATGTGGTACTCGCGATCGTGTCCTGCCTTCCTGCCGCATAGTTCTTTATGAAAGCGCAGAGTGTGCACCGTCCGGGTGGTGGAAAGCTCCCTAAAAGCGCGGTGCTGACTCGTAGAAAGGAAACGAGAAGGGAGAAGAAGCCGGGGAGGGAGAGTTGAGAGGAGACGAGAGAGGTGGAGGAAAGTTATTTTATCTTACGTTATGTACCCGCCAGGTGAGCGAGAAGGAACCACGAGGAGTTAGCGGCGGACGTGATGAAGAAGGAGGTGGCGGAGGAGGTGTAGCTCCCGTCCATGTCTTACTTTCCTTTCTCTAAACGAGCCGCAACGGCTGCTGCCCTCGATTCGAGACATCGATTGTGTCCCGCCGGTCTCCGAAATACGCGCCGCCGAAAGTCCCGCTCGCTGTGTCCGACAATGAATGCTTTCTTTCTTCGTTACCTTTCGATTACACTTTCGAGGAGAACGACGCCGTGGCAGGATCGTTCCAGCTACATATACGACGTCGCTCCAAGATCTTGCAGAGAATTGCTAATTGTGGGGTAGCGTGCGAGCTTGCGAAAGATAAGCCTCATAAACTCCGTTATTCGAAAAAAATGTTACGAGATTATTATCCTGTTTTTGAAGTATTCGATAATATAGTTCTCTTCGGGCTCAAACGTGCGAATTATAGTTCGTCCGTTGCTATCATCCTTCGCTTCATTTGCATACAAATCAGCTTGCGTAACTTTCGGGCGAAGTAGTTCGAAACACTTCAGCTTACATGAATGCGGATTGCAGCATTCTTTGTGGCACATTAAGTGCCTTTAAATAAAATGACGGTGGGGCTTGTAACCCCTAACGTCACATAGATTAGATTTGTTTTCTTGTAACACCCGCTGGTTTCTTGAAGTCATAGGCCCAGTCTGCTGTCATTCACGCCTGGGTTAACAGTCTGTTCACCCTCAGTTCTCTGAGTTCAAGAAATATTTGGTCCGGGGATTTATATCTTTTACAAGCTAGTGTTGAACAGCGACATGAAATATGTACGCTGTCTTTTTCCTCCCCGCATAACAGGCATATTCTTTGTTCAGCTAACTTGAAATTATATAAATGAGTCCTATATATAAATGGGCTAGATAGCTTGTTAAAACCATGATTCTCGATTTTTAGCGTCTTCTTGTTCGTTGTCAGAAGTTCATTTGTTCTACTTGGTAAGAGATGTCTCATCATTAACTTGCATTGTTGGCAACCCCCACTGGCCTCCCAGGTTCTCTTTTGCCTGACAAAGGAGACATTACAGTCCGATCATCCGGGTCTGTTGGTTCCGATCTTTAGTTAGTCTGTCAACCTTTTTATTATTGAAAATTCTCTGGTAATATATTCCTTTTACAGTAGTAAAATTGTAAACGAAGATACGCAATATATAATCTTGAGGTTCAACAAGACCTTACACTTGTTATGCAAGTTATCCGCAGTCCTATTATATAAATTATGAAAGTTATACTAGATATAATCCTTTACTATACTATAATTGATTGCATAATTGATTTATGTATACGTGTCTGCAGGAGCCTGAGCAAAGGATCGGTAATTTGCGAGATTTCGTTTACATGGCATCACGTGATAATTAGCTTCCACACTGCTTCATGTCTTTTGATAATTTCAGACGTGATCATTTGGTTAATAATGTTCGGTTGTCAGCTAGTGGCCAGCACGGTATAATAACGCAATACGGTTGAGAAAGCGCATTGTGTATTTCGCCTGGCCGTGAAATCAGCTTTGTTCTGCGATGGTTAATCGACTTTTTTCGGACTGTGATGGAGAGAATTAAAATACCGCAAGAAATCGTGATATCGCAATAAATGAGATGGCAGACGAATTTACGTCATTCGCAGTTGTTTAATTGTACGCTTTGCGTTTCATTGCCGATGAATATATTGAAAGAAGAATCTAATCAATCGATGCTACAAAATATATTTATTTAGAAATGTTGATTACAAGTATACAAACAATTGCTCATAAACAAAAATATTATTATTAAAATATGACTTCTATGTTTATTTTAGCGACTATATATGATTGTTTAATCGTTTTGCTATTTTTTTCTGAATTATTTAGATTAGCAAGTCATATTATAGCATATATCAAAACAGAAATTGTAGACATTTAATTGAGGAGTATACTCGAATTTAACATTAAATAATATAATAAATAACGCACGTAAAATTATTCGAAAAATTTATTATTTATTATTATTTCTTTACGTTACATTTTAAAAAATGCCTATAAATACAAAATATAATCGATCTGTTTTTTATCCGCCTTTCACTTTCCTTTTCAATCTGAAAGTTTTGCCATAGTATATGGAGCACATTCCGGGACGATAGTACTTACGAAAGAGAGATGTTTAGAACGTATCGCTCGGGGCGACATATCTATCTTCATAATGAAGAGACTTCGTATGTATGCGGCTATAAGTACATCCTTCATTGTGAAAAAAAAATAATAAAATTAATACATGAGATGATCAATTTATGATATTTTATAGCGTGTGTTACGAAATCCGTCTTCTATTTGAAACTGCGAACAAGTTAAAAAAAAATAACTGCGTTTCCGGATTGCGATAAATTACGATTAAATTTATTCTCCTGTCGTTCACTTGGTTTAGTAATAGCATAATAAGCGAAGTGAAAAGATCCATTTTAAAATGGACATCCCATACCGTAGTGCAAAACTGGTCAATTAAGCTTCCACGATAAATTGTACAGTGTACAAGGGCCCAATCGTATATAATTGAGTCTTGAATCGATAAGAATTGAATTGTCTTAATGGTACATGAGAAAATTGAGCGGGTAGCTCCAGTTTTCCTTTCCCGATCGTTTAATATCTCGTTTCTGCGACCTCGCGAATAAATAATTCAACCAGAACGTTAACTAGTGTCCTGTCGATTGCACATATACGTGCGCAAATAAATGCCAATAAATAAGCCCTAATAAACAAGAGCTTGAATGAATATCCCGCAGTGAATATCTCTTAGAAAACGATGCTCTGAAAAAAAAGTTAAAACTGCTCAATCTAATTGCAATTGGAACTCTAGGTACCAAAAGTTTTTAATTTCCAATATTATTACTCAGTTCAACATCTTTAATTGAAAGAAGGACTGTCGTAAGTCTCATGAAATCTCTCTCTTCTGATTTTTCATAATTTCCTGTCTTTCGCACGTGATAATTTTCCTATTATCCTACACGTAATATAAATAGACGTCGCGTGCCAGTTTCACGATTATTCAATTCAAGCCGTTCAAATAAATATGTACTTTGCGCGTGATTATCTGGATCGCTGGAAAAAACTAATCCGTAATTGCCACGTTCTAACTGCTAGGTTGAGAGGCCGTAGATAGAAAAACGGACATACTTAATATGAATATGCATGTTTGTGCTCATGCGACGAAATCTTACAAGCGCGCCACAAGCAGATTTATACGCTCCTTTAACGGGATGAAGAGAACAATTAAACGGTTGACGCAACCGTTGCGTTCCCGCGGCTAATAAGCGAGAGCCGCGACCGATCGGACACCTTTTGAGAGAGAGAATTTACGCGGTACGTTGACTCCCCTCGCGCGCGCGAATAATGTATGGATGTGGAACGAGACGTAAAGTTTGACGTGCCGCCTTTAGTTCGACAGACTTGTTTTTACGTAACGTCGCGGTCGCGTTGGGCATTTTTGTCGATATACACCGAGGTCTGGCGAAAATGTCAGATTCTCCGGCGAACGCGCCGGCCGTGCTCGAATAGCCGTGGAAAATAGAGTAAAAAAGGCCTGTGACAAAATCGCACAGTTCAAGGATACAAGAAAATGAATTTATTGCAAGTTGTCTATATCTTCCGCAAGAATAACCCGCATATTTATTTAGAAATATATTACATAAAAATTCTATTTTGATTGCAACATCCGAGAGACGTATATAGTTCGATTTCTGTGCACGATTTAAAGAAAAGCGAAATACAAATGTACAAATTAAAATTAAAATAATTGCTTAACTTTAACGCAAAACCAAATGTCTTCTTTATTTTATTCGATGCTTTACTTTATTTTACGTGTGATCTGGTTATTTCAAATATTGCAACGAAGTATTCAAGTAAAAATGTATTGGAATATTTAGTGCGTTACATCAGTGACTTCAAAATGTATCATATCTTCTACGCAATGGCTCTTTTTCTCATATCTTTGAATTGAGAGTGAAGCTTATCCTCCTTACTGTATTATCCTTTTTGATGATTACAATAAAATCAAATTGACTGCAGCATCACAATTATCAAAGAAATTCGGGCACTTGACGTATGCATTTTCGATTGAGTTGTGCGTGTGGTCGGTAATTTTAAATGACAGAAAGCCACACTTTATTAAACACCCGACGTGCGCGAGAATTTGCATGATCACAGGGTGACGAGGTGTTTTCGGGTGGCCTCGCCTTTTCTTCGTTGCAGATGTCATATTGGATTTCGATCTTTAATTTCGAAATCCGTGAAACATAATATGAAGCTGTATACAATGTAGCAGAGTAAAATTTGCCGGTAATGAATCGCCGTGTTGTGATTTATATTAAAAACCATGTACAACGATT